TCACACCGAGTCATCAATACTTGGAACCTGCTGCCTGAAGCAGTGGTGTCCGCACCTTCAATTGACTCTTTCAAGAGAAGATTGGACACTCACAGAAGCATACTAGAAAAGGACTAACATAGGCTGTAGGCCTTCTGTCCTTACTACACAAATCTGAATCTGAATATTGGCTACTCTGCTCTCGTGTTTTCTTTTACTTGCTCCCTCTTTCAGCCCCCTTGAGATATGGAACTGGTGACTTCATCCTGCACCATCCTTAAAGCCTTGGATATCCCAAAGGGACATAAGGTTGAGATTTCTAAAAGCTCATACCTTCAATGGACCTATCCTTAACCATCAGTCGCACATTCGCAACGCAACTTACATGAATCGCGCCAACTGTGGTACTGATTCAAACCATCTACATTCATATCTTATAAATTATCAACCCACCAATGTAATTTATTACAGTGTATATTGTATCGTTTGTATCAATTTGATCTTGCCTGTAAACTGGCATGCCTCATGTAACAAACTGTTATTTGAGAATAAATTATTATTATTATTATTATTATTATTATTATTATTAAATGATATCAACCTTTCTCTTGCGATCGAGGATGCTTGTCCATCTGTCCACCGCAATCAGCAGGTTGGTTATACAAGATTAACCCTTCCTGAAACCATACTGTTGGGGTGAGAAGAAATTTAAGGACAGTAGATAGTCATTTAAACCATCGCATATCAGGGACTCCATGAGTTTTGAAGGTAATGACAAAAGAGCCACAGGCCGATAACTTGAAGGTTCATTGCGTCGACCCCCTTTGAAATTTGGTTTAATGTGAGCCAACTTCCAATTTTCCTTTAATTTGCTTCGGCTTAGCGAGTGTGAAAACATCACGCTAAGCGGCGTTGCCAGGATTGAGGCTGCCTACTTCAGTATGGCAGAATGAACCATATCCGGGCCAGGAGAAGTATCTAGTCTTAAGTGCTGCAGTTTCCGGAACACCAAGTCAGCGCTTAGGTCCACTTCGGAAAGCCCTGTGGAATTGCAGATGAAACTGTCGTCAATAGAGTTGATGTCAGCCGGCTGAAATGTTTGAGAGTAATGTGCCGCCAGAAGATTAGCGGCGTCACCATCGTTGTTGGTCGGGCCGTTGAGACCTAGCAGTTGAGAAACTTCTGTTTTGGCTTGACGAAGAGAGGCTGCATAACGGAATAAGCTTCTGAGGTTAGAGACAAATTTGTCCATAAACTTTGTCTGATAATGAAGCCTGTCTTCTCTCATAGCCTTCGTGCATATGTTCCTGATATGTTTATATTGCCTATACTCTCCGTCATTATTAGTTCGTTTGTATTCCGCCCAACAGTGCCTTTTGCGGCTTAGCAGGCGAAGGGTACGGTTCTTGATTATTGTAGGTGGCTTGCAGCTTTTCGGAACCGTTTGAGGAACTGAATGGTTTGTAGCACATAAGTGCGTGTGCAGTAAGAAGTTCCAGTGACCGTCCACATCGAGTTGGGGGTGAACATACCAAAGCACCTGTTGTAGAAAGTCATGTAGAGCTGGCACATTCAGCCGTTTAAAATTCCAACGCAAATTATCGTTGGAATACCTTAGCTTAGTTTTGATGACAAAACTGAAGGCTATGACGGCATGATCGCTCTTTCCCAAAGGAGCCAGGATTGAGAGGTTGTCTATTAGGAATTCTTCGTTTGTGAATACACAGTCTAACCGCGATGGTGTTTGACTGTTTCTCCAACGAGTTGCTGACCTCACATTTTCATATAAGCCCAAGTCATCGATGAGGTTGAAGAACTGAGCTTCAATTTAGTTGTCGCCTCCAGTGTATGTAAGCTTCCCCAACAGGTGCAGGAAGTCTTTGTGTCATTCCAAAATAACGCCGTATATGAACTGACTGCATCTCCAGACAAGTTCTGGGGATCACTAGAACCCTCGAGCGCCAAACTTTATTGTCATATGGAAGGCATCAAACAATACAAAATGATCTCACAGACCTCTGACATACTCTGATTCGTTATTCTGGACGTTCTCAAACCTCTAAGAAGCTCTTCATTTCACACCTCTGGTTTGTCTAGGTTGGCACACTTCAATCATAAAGGTGTTACATGTAAATGTGCTGTTAAACTCTGAATGTCTGTGGTACTCATGCACGCTTATTAAATTATTTACATATTTGACGTTTCCTTCTTTTTTCAAATTTTTCCTTTTTTATTTCTTTAAAGTCAACTCAATACACTTCTACAAACCCAGTTTACATATGGCGAATACTATCCAAGCGTTATCAAGACTTGTGTACAACTACATTTCTGAAGAAAGCATTTTGGGATTCTTCGCGACAGTTATGTTCTAATGTGTTGCGTGTGAATAATGGTTAGAATAATACAGGACGGACTGAGAGTATTTGATTGATCGATAACTATCGCACTAAATATCAATGATTTTGCTGTGTTTTGGATACATTTGTTTTATTCACCTTTTGAACTTGTGTGTTTATAACTATGAACTCGGGCACTTTCATTTTCACATCGTTTTAGGTTCGGCATTTCGGAAGTTTGTTTCAGAAATCTTAGTACTGAAGGTTCACTGCGTCAGTTGTAGTATCTATTGGGACAGTATATTTAAGTTGGTTACTTGTAAGCCGCGAATAAACTTTGGTACTTGAAGTGAGGCTTGGCTCTTTCGTTATCTGACTCATAAGTTATAAGTGAACCAATCGAAAGTGCTGTCCTGAAGGACTAAAGAGAAATGTGGACGAGATGTGCTAAAATATTCATATCGAGAATTTTTGTTTTGATGCACCTGTTTATGTCCATCCAGTTTTGACTCGTGTGCCAATCAATATTTCTGTTCCATCTATTTATCGCTAGAAAATATATATTGAAAATTATTGTTGATTTCTTTCAGACCGATGGATTTGAAAAATTATGATTGTTACGTAATCTTAGCTTCGCTTGCTTTTTTGACATGATTATCTGTGTTGTTTGCCGATTTCATTGCACCGCATGTTTGTAACTGGTCAATTACATTTCTTAGTAGTTCAGTTGTTATCATTGGTTTGTTTATTTTTAGTTCATTTTATGAGGAAATTGAAGCAAGTCAAGTAAACTTTTATGTCGGGATTATGAAAACAACTTATGGATAACGTACTATAATAAATGATTTCCTGCTCATATACAAAGTTCTGTAATAATTCAATGTGAAAACCCAAAATAACCCCTGCGCTTAGGGTACGGTTCTTTTTGAGATATTTCAAGTATCTGGAAGAGCAGATGAAAATGATCCGATTGTGACGCACACCTGACACATCTCGTCTGAAACGGCTTTCCTTTTCTGAGTGACGCGAGAAATTTGGCTGAGAATACTGAAAAGCGATCACAGAACCAACATTCCACATAAACCTGTAGGCTTTAAGTTTAAATCGATATTAACCCAGTTATCTATGCTACTAGAAAAGTAGGCTTAATACAATATTGCAGGCTTGCGATGACATTACTGTCTACTCTACGGGATCTTGCGTATAAGTCACATTATTTTCTGTACCGACTGGTCCTACTATGATGTAGCGGTAAATAAATCCCCAAAATAAATAACTCTGTAATTTTTCAACATTGGATGCTTACCACATTAGTTTTATTGGACTCACCTAGCTGAAGGCGCTCAGTCATGCATCCGCATCAGATCACGAGTGGGAATGCCATGCTCAACAACCCCTGCAATCACTAGCCAGGTTATATCAGACGATCCTCGATATATTGATAGCCTATCAAATGTATCATCGAACCTCCCCGCTTCTGTCTTTTGATTTCACCTTGTGGGTACGATTCATAACACAAGGTGTTACTGGGTGAAGCGTTGTCAAAATCCGAATACCTCTGGCATCTTCAATGACATCCAGTAACATAGTTATTATGAACAATTTATTAACGTATTTGGTTTGTGGATAGAATATTTTATTAATGATAAAAGCGAGAAGTTACGCTGAGTGATCACTATGTGTATCACAATTAGTGAAAGTAAAATCTCTTTTCCTACTTTTAATCGCGATGTCTGATAATACATGAGATTTCTGTCGGAATACCGAATTTATCAGCAATGACTGAATTAGCATGCATGTCGTTGTGCAGTACTGGACTACAGAGAACAACAAGTTACATGTATTTTTCTTATCTTTTCTTCATGCTTTTATACCCAACGATCAAAACCCTTAATAGAAATAACGCCTTAAGCACTAAAAATTTGATCAAAATCTTTAACGAAACCATTCGAGCTCTTAACTCAGAGAAAAAACTGATAGATTTTGGAAGTATCAATTGAAAATTCGCAAAGCTCAAACGAAAAGCATGAAAATTATCCCAGAACTGGGATTAAAAATTACCATAGATTGAACTCAAAATTTGGAAAAGTGCCGTCTTTTCCCTAGATGAGTCTCCGTGAAGATGGTTGCCGGGATTTCAGCCTGTTATTTCTAAACGAAATTCGGGAAGTCAACGCTCGAAATTGGCTGGTAATCTGAACAGAAAATCCACTTTTTAACAACTTCCACCGATATAAAAGCTTTATTATCTGCTAGTGACCTCTAAGTGAAAATCAGCTTTTGCATAAAGCTAACTTCTTATCTAACCAAAAGTCAGGATAGACCATGTAGGCGCGTAAAAACAGACTGCTATAAATGTTAATCGATCACTTTTAAGAGTTCTTTGTCTATTCCCATCACTAGCTTCCTTGTTGTGAACCCAGTCAACAAGCATTTTCAAAAAGAAACCTCAGAAAGTTGTATATTTCTGAATTTATCTCACTTTAAGACTTCTAAATACCTTAAGGTACTCGTATTCATAGAGTTATAGATTTACTTGACACATATTTACAAAAGAATAATATTTTATGCTAGGAAGAATCAGCATGCAATGCAGATGAATAGCTTCACAACGTCAGGAAGCCAAAGTGAAACAATCTATGAGATCTAAATAGATGCCCAGCAAATATTGGAAATTGAATAACTCGAACGAGGAATTATGAAAGTAGCAAACCCTGACCTTGACTATAAAGTGTTGGTAAGTGATAGTTGTTATATTGTAGGCTTTGTTAATTTCCTCTTGCTTCTATTCAGCGGTAAGCCTGGGTCGAAACTTTAACTTTTTTGCCGTAGGAAGTGAGTGTAAATTTTATGATCACTATTCGAGAAATTCCAACAATGTTGGAGAAACTATGGGAAGGCTGTATTAGGAGAAATTAGGAAAACGCGACAAAAACCTGTAATTTCCCTGGTTTAGAGTTTCCCTCAAAAATACCCAAAACACTTGGGCCCCCAAATGTCGTGGTACGGTCGAGGGTGGGAAGAGTCAGCTCTCACTCTAGAAATGCTCTCACATGGCCACGAATATACAGCCACTGCTAGAAAGCTCCTACTCACTGCCTTATCGCGGTAGGGGTTTGTTTACGGAATTTAAAGGACGAAAAGTGGGTGTCCAGTGCTTTAACCGGGTTGATGGATATCGAGGATCCACCTAGAGAAGTTGGAAAACCTTGATTCCAAACCAACGGTGCACATGGGCTCCAGTATCCTGAAGGGATAAATGGCGTATGAGCCAGTCGTTGGTCACTAGCTACCACGGGACTGCGTCTCCTGACGTTGTTCTACTGCCTTGTGGATCAGACTTTCAAGTCGAAGGCTCCGGGCGTGGCCCCCTAAGGAAACTACCTGCTTCGGTCTGGGTACTTAGGCAGTATCACAGCCCACACACAAATCAAGTGATTTGTGTGGCGCATATGTATTCGGTGCCTCTTTGTACTAATATTTATGTGTTCAAATAAATAAATAAAATAAATGGGGAAATTTTGCATTCTGATTATTTCCCCAGAATCTACAAAAACTTTGGGGAAATCCATCTTTGTTATTTGGTAGAACACCGAAACTACTGAGTATTCTGGAGAAAACCTGAAATTTTTCTCAACGTTCTCGAAAAGTTATATGGTCTTTATTGAGAAGTACCCAGAATGTTCTTTGCGTATAAACGTCTTTCGTTATCTTTAGCTAATTTCGCAAATTGCGTTAAATTTAACCGTTGATTAGCGTACAATGTAGAAATTGTTTCTCGATATTGATTTACACGTAAGTCATTGTTCTATATCCCGACTGTAATGTGTCCTGATTTATATACAGTTCCACCTTCTCCCTCTAAATGTAAGTTGTTGCTTCAGAACTGGTCTGCGTCAACACCTGAACTAAGGATAGGGAGTGAAGTAGTCAATTTGACTTATCTTGGAAGTCTGGTCAGCCCTAATGGGTCGGTGTCTGACGAAATCTCAGCACGAATTCGAAGGGCTCGTTTGGCTTTTGCCAACTTACGCCACCTATGGCGAAGGCGAGATATCCGTCTATCAGTAAAAGGACGAGTCTGTTGCGCAGCATTTCGTTCTGTTCTACTTTACGGCTGCGAAACGTGGCCATTAATAGTAGAAGATGCTCGTAAGCTACTAGTATTTGACCACAGATGCCTTGAAATATTACTGGCATCTGCTGGGATCACCGGGTAAGTAATAGTGAGGTTAAACACAGAGTATTGGGGAATAATGGTAAATCAGTTGACTAGGTTGTGAATCTTCATCGACTGAGATGGTTGGGCCACGTGTTACGTATGTCTGAACACCGATTACCACGACGCTCAATGCTAACCGGTGCTGAAGATGGTTGGAAGAAAGTTAGGAGGCGGCCAAACCAAAGCGTGGCATCAGTGTTTGAAGTCACTAACTTCTGGTCTGAGCCATGTTGGAAGATGCAGACTACTTGGTTGTAGCCCACGTGGCTATGGTAATCAATGGTTGGAGACTCTTGGTGACATAGCTCAGAACCGATCACAATGGAGTAGGTGTATACACTCTCTGTTTCCCTTTAAACTAAGAGATTACAATCGCTTCATATATTTATTTCTACGAACTAATTCTTCCTGTACTATATCCTTATTGCAATCTTTCTTTTATATATCACCACATCTGAATTAACTACTTTTATGAATCCGGTGTCCATCTTGTTGTGTTAATGAGGTATGGCAACTTGGACCGATGCATATATGTGTCTGGTCCTACGTTGTAGCTGACTGACTGACTGACACCTTTTCATCTCCACCGGTGACCTCATTTCTAATTTTTTAAACGGTAAGTTGATCTAATCCATAGAAAATTTTTACTCTGTCCACACGTTGAGGTCTTCAAAGAGCTTTGTGTTTAATTTCATCTTGAACGATTCTCTCACAGCTTTTGTATATGCTACTTGGGTAGAAGGCAATCTAAAGCAATAAGACCTATGGGATCAGTTAACGACATAACTGAGGACAAGATTAGTCATTTTTTCAATGGTTTTCTAATTGTCAAACTCTATTTAAGAGCAACTCTATGCGCTATTTTAAGCTCAAGGTTTTATATATAACATCGTAACGCAATCGCGTCTTATATCCCTACAAGACATAGGGACTTGTGTGCCAAATTAATCTGCGTTTAAACCCCTCATCATGTTGAACAACCCACTTTCTCTTATATAATATTACTAGATACAATACCAAAATAATGCTTTTTAAATAGTTGATTATTGTGAACATATAAAATTTTATCGTTTTTTCCTCAAAGTAAGAGGTTTTACCATTAGTTTATTAATTCATGTTCCTAAATACGTAGCTTATCTGTAGATTACATAGAACCATGTCATAATAGCCCAATCAATAACGAATGTATGTTTTCCCCTTTTTAAAGTATAGCTTTGTCATAGCCTTAATTTTTTCTATTGTTCTACAGGCCTTTATGATGTTTCTGAAAGCTTAATCAGCAAATATTTTTGGCTATAATGCAAAGTATAACGTGAGAATTTTATTTTGTCTACAGGTCAGAATTGCTCTACGAAATTTCTATCAAATGATAGTTAAGATACTTTAGAGCGACCCGTTATTCAGATTAACTTATTTGTCCGTCAATCCTGACTTTCCTGTTATGAATCGCCCAAGTAAAACAAATGGTCAGGACAAAGTTCAGTCTATTTCAATCAGAAATTTACCAGTGGATGTAGATAACAAAATGCTGAGGAGTATTATACCTTCAGCTAAAAAAATCAGTTCACACAAGCAAACATTTTTTATCACATTTTCTACTGTGAACGGCTATACAGATGCATTACGTCGTTTAAAAAGAGTTGACTTCAATGGAGTTAAGGTAGTATCAAAAAGTTTGCTGTATTTTATATTTTCAGTAAATAATAGCTTATTCACTAGTCAAACTATGTATTTACTTTGCAGCTAAATACACAAGTTTTCAAATGATCTGTTCGTCGTCTATCGAAGTATTTTATAAAAATTGTTTTCTCACTGTAATTGGTCAGACAATATATTATAGCTAACGAATGAAATTACACAAATCTACTAATTAAAAAGCAATCAATGGTATGAATTATAAACAATCCTATGTGATGTTTCATTCACCCTAACACTTAGTGTTCAGTAATACTCAGAAGCACAATACAGATGTCAGATTTATTGGTTCTCAAGAAATAAAGTCGTGGATACCTATTTCTTGATATTTTTCACCATACTATTGTTTGGACTAGTCTTTATACAATCCAATGAATTTCTCTCGATAGATTCTTATAGATGCAACTAAATTCATCTTGTGTAAAATTCCTAAGTAATAGCTTCGAAAAAATACATGGACGTTCTATAAAAGTTAGTGAGCATAATGGAAATTAGAAAAACGATAGGAACTTGTATAATAGTACAAGCAGTGTCACCAGTATTAGTTTGAACTCAAGTTCTGGTGGTCGTCTAAGCAAATCTTTTTCAAGTCCTATTTGCAAGATAAGCAATAACCCTTGTGAAGTAGTATTGCTTGGTTATTCTTTTCCTATTGTCTAGATGGCATAACTCGACAAAGTTATGTCATATACGGGAATGAGATAGTTTCATCTTATAATAAACTTTCTATTTGGAGACCTTCGAGTGCTCATATCAGAACTCTATTAACAGTAGTAAATCGATTTATTCGTAACTTGGTCTTCGATGCGTAATTATGCTAACACGAAACTAGTTTCATTAAAAGAAGTAAAAATGAAGTCGGATATTAATACATGTAGAGGTACATTATTAGTAAGTAAAAATTTGAGCGAATTAATCTTGGTGATACGGCATTAACTGCAAGTGACGCAAGGAGTAGTGGTCAATCTGGAAGTTCACTGTTATTTGAAACCATAACAATGATTTCATATAGATAAGCTGTTAACACCGTATCTATTATTTACTGATAGATAGCAGGTAGAGTCTTGACACCGAATGGTAGGCTGGTGTTTTAGATAAACCTTCGATCAGTATCGATATTTAGAATATGTCTACAATAATTATCTTCTTCCACTTACAGGTAGGCGTCGGAAAAGTCTGTTTTCGCGAAACATGTTCCATCATTAAGCTTACCGAACAGGTTCTCAGGACCTGGTAACGGATACTGATATATGTCCGGTGCAGCGTTTAAATCGATTGAGAAATCGACACATATACGTATAATTGCATTAACCTTCTTAATCACTACGATCTGTGTGGTCCATGCGTAGTAGTTGATTGGTTTGATCACACCAGCTTGTTGCAAACGATTAAGTTCCTGATCGATTAGTTCAAGAGCAGCGCACGGCGTAGGACGTCTCGGACGGAAAATAGGTTTAGCACCTAGTTTCACTAGTAAATGAGCTTTCATGTTGGACCAGTAGTCAAGGTGATTTTGCAAAAAAGCAAACTTTTTCCTTAGCTTATCTGACAACCTTCCACTTATTTTTTCAAATGTAGGAGTGTCCACTGTTGAACAGGACACTCTGCAGATATGTAATGGGTATATCCATTATTCCAACTTTTTCTAACATATTTAGACCACGGTCTGGTCTATCTGTTGGATAGCATAGCGTGCATGCCCATTGCTTTCTGACTAACGCATCAACAATAAAGTCTTCCACGTGTCATCTTGTTTGCAAAATCCTATTTTAAATGTATTTTCCCAACGCCTTAACCATATGAGGAAGGTATTTCCACTAAATGGTCATAGTTGAATTCTGGAATGCTACTAGTAACTGCACCACAGGAAGTAGTTGACATAGCATATGAACTCGGGCACTGAATGTTAAGACGTTGCGTCCGTTTCTAACAACCGAATTTGTGCACTTAGTTTTGTTTGCTGTTGTTGCAGAATTCAATTGAGCTGGTCATCTGATATCGGCATATCAAATACATCTTTCTTTTTCCTCACTGTTATAAACTGTTCCATTACGACCCAGCTACTATTATTGATTAGTATTTTTCGAAAAATGCCTCACTCGGCAAGTCCCCAAATTAGAACACGGTTGAGCAGGAACTCAATTATATTCCAAATAAACAAGGTTGAGTGGAAATAGGGATTACAATAAGGCGAACGTTAGTATACTGATAATTTCACTCAAGAAGATCCTAGAGTCTTCTCTAAGTATCTACTAATGCTGACTGGCTAGGAGATAACTAATCAGCGTGCTCCAACACAATCACACTCGAATCGTGCCTTAATTCAATCCATATAACTCAAGCAAAGAAACTGACTGAGACGGAGTCATGTAATTAGGTGTAGACTACCTGGTTGTCGGGGTCCATGTGATTACCGTAGCCAATACGTAGGATTTTCGAATGAGATGGTTCAAGATCATTCTCAGTGGTGCAGGTACATTCACTGTTTGGCTTCCTTTGGATCCTAAGTTTCTAGTTTCTTTGTAATTTTTTAATGCTATTTTTTATTTGTAAATTTGACTAAGACAAGAACAATTAATGTATCGGAATAATATAAATTGATTATATTTCTCTGTTTCTCATCAGCTGTTTACAATTTAAACATAATAGTATTAATCTTTAAAAATCAGTGTACATATTTTATATCATAATATCGGAAGAGTTCTCATCAATGCAAATTATCGAAAGTAGCGATAAGAGATGTTCATATGTAAATTAATGTTATTTATAGGTTTAATATAAGAATATCCTAGAATAAACAACTAAGAACATAGAAACAGAGTTATTTAGAAATAATAAGTTAATGCTATAATTATGTAATCCTTGTAACAAAATTAACTAACTGAGTACGCATCAGATAAGATGTGAGTATTAATAATTAGTCTCATGGAAACCGAATTGCTCAACGAAAATTTGTGAATGAGTTTACCGCGGCAAGGCAAGATTGACAACTGAGTCTTTTTGGATACATAAATTTGGTTTGAGTCTATTCATGGCAACTGATTGGGGAAGCCGTAGAAAATCTGACGTTCTTTGTTTATTATTTGTCTTGAAGGAATTCGAGACAGTAACACCATGACCACTGTCATTCAGATGGCGTGCAATTGATTCTATTATGTTTAGGTTGTGAGCAGCTAATGACAAACAGCGAAATATAATGAATTCATTTTACTCTGCTACATTAATTGTTCTTCCTCTAGTCAAATCTTTCTTTAATTTGTTGATTTATATTTTCTTGAATAAACTTTTCAATTGCTAATAATACTATTACTACCTTTGCTATTCTGATTTGTCGTGACAATTACATCTCACTGTGCTAATGGAGTATGACAGCTTAAACCGACTTACATGTGCCTAGTTCTGTATTGCGTACAACCAACTGACTAACTTCAATTTTATTGGTATAGTGGATATGACAAGTAATTATGTACAGATACAAATAAAAAATCACCTATCTTTTTATCGGTAAACAGTTAACCTTCTCCTACTTTGTAATTTGTCTGAATGGTTTGCCATTTTATCAACCAACGTGGTCTATAATTGCTCCTCACTTTACTGTACCATCTATTTGAGTAAATTATAAGTAACATTTTCGATTTTAGTTATTTAGTTTTATGAACAGTATAACTACTGTGAATTATCCACTGAGTCATTTGTTTATTATCCTGTCACTCATATTTCTTGGTTAATATTGTTTGTATTGTAATCACAAACTTGTAGGTGTAGCTGATAATTTAATAATTTGATCAGAAATATAACTCACTAGCGATAACCAGACTCAATAAACCAGGTTATAAAGCACTTATATTATATTAAGCCTAGTGATGTTAGGTTACCTAAACGTTTTAAAATAAATTGGAGTTTGAACGTCATATATGTAGAACTAGAGGATATGAGCACAGTTATGGTTAATTGTAATCTCTAGCTGATTAGTCAATAATGGTTGCCAATAGAGTTTACATTCACATTTCTGGTTGTGTCTTACTTAACGACCAGGATTGCTGATAAGCGAAGGTGGATAGTGACTAGCAGTGGGATCCAGGACGCACGTTTCTCCCTATTTGGGACTCGTCAGCTGGATGTACCTGCATCTCAGAGTTGATGTTCACTCTGGGATTCCACTGCTAGCCACTTTCCATCTTTGCTTATAAAGCTTGTGAATTAAGGCAATACGCACATTATGCACGTATGCCAATAACAGACCAATAAATTGCAGTCTTAAACCTCAATGGGAAGATACGGGCAAAAACAATACCAAGTGAACAGGATTGCTGATATTTTTCTTGGGACTAACCCACCATTCCAAAAATCTACCCAATTCACTACGGAGTGTGTTAGGTTTATCATCTATCAATAACGTAAAGTTTCAGTAAATTCACTATTGTTTGTTTAAAATGAACCTAATATCAAATTAAAGTGAATTATAAATAAACCAGAAATAAATTAAAACAATATGAACCACTAATTCATCAATAAATGGTCGAGTGTTTTAGATAACTAGTCTCATTAATTCTCTATTGATAATGTTAAACAAATGTTTTGGTAAATATTCTATTCTACCGTGATAGTGCTATTTCTAATGAAGCACATTTATTTTCGGGAAAGTCGGTGGTTAACTATCACAAGATCAATCAGAGGATGCACAGGATGTGGTGAATTTGTGCATCAGGCGATGTTGCCACATTTCATATCAGGATAAAAAAGGCATCGCTAAATAAGGTCAGATGGGTCGACGTAATGATCCCAATGAAAGTGATAGACTTGATGGAGAACGCAATTTAAAAAATAACTAGTAAAATTGGAGGATAAGAAATATGATTTAGTTTTGTTACTTAAGAATCGAGCAGAAAAAAAGATGAGTAATGAATACTCATACTTCACTACAACCAATTGTGAGCCATGAGACCCAAAATTTTGAACCATAAATTGTAGTCATTTCATAGATTATGGTCAATAGATTTTCACGTCCCGATATGACTCAGTTTAAAAGTGATTGACCAAGAGTAACAAAATCTATAATCCATGAATATGACAAAAAAGAGACTTCAGTCATATTAAAACACTGTCCATAGAGTTTATTAATTTTATGTTTCAGATGTATTTTGCTAGTCAAAAATGGTAAATGATTACTGGTGATCAAATACACGTATTCAGATCAGTCTGCACTCAGTATCTCCAAAATAGTAAGACAGTTTCTGATCTCATAATCCCATCGGGAGTGAGGAACAATTTCTAAGACTGAGTATTTAGACATGAAACTTTTTCTAAAGTATATGTGCTTCACCTGTTTTCATAATGTTCCATACACTTATAAAAACGTCACAAATCAATTAATTATCCCTCTTTGTTTATCTAGTTGTTTGTAAAGTATTTTTGTAACAACTTTAAACAGCCAGTCAAAAACTTCTCTCATTAGTCTTTACTTTATTACTCATTTATTACACCGAATATGATCAGTTATTGATGTAAATTGAACTACGTTTAGCATCTTATCTTGGTATCACACATGAATAGTTTTCTGTTAGTGTGAGATTAACATACATTTGAAGTTACTTTACCGCGAAATGATAACATTCTCGTTTTACATACTATGCTTGATTCTTCTTTGTTTTACTTTAGCCAATTGTAAAATCTATTTGTCAACCATCACAATCCAAAAATGTAATTCAGCCAGAAAATGTTGAATTAACTGTTCAAAACCTGCCTCAGTCGACCACACTAACTCAGCTTAAAATAGAATTTCCTACAGCAGTATCTATAAAATTAAAAACCGATATATGGGATGTACAGAAAAAGTAAACTATTTTGGTCTTCATTTTATCATTTTAAGTGACGTTAATACCCTGACTAGCTAGGGACCTTTTTTAAAGTGAACGTTTACTTGTTTCCGGAAACTGATCAGTAACGTTTACCATTGTGTAATCGTGTGCTTATTAGATATTACAATTCAATTTGTTTGGTGATTTGCATTCGAAGATAACGACCAACAGAGAGTATATAACTTCGCGTCAAAATTCTTTGATTCCACCCTATTTTATTTCATAAACTGTCCAACTTTATGGAGATTCGGAAAAATTGAATGTACACAGAAATATTGGTTTTCGGTGTCTTCCATAGTAGCTGCAATAGTAGATCAGTAGTAATATTTCCCACGTGGAACTTCAAAGTGATGCCTCAAAAAGTAAATCGCCTGGTTGCAAATTAAATGTTGATCCAACTACTTCGGCTTAACAGCTGGTTATTGTCACTGGTCTTCACACTGAAAGTGAAGCTCAGAACCAATTGTATGGATCTGTATAGCATAGATCAGTGCTAGCATAGCACTATAGATAAATTTGATTGTGAATGGAAATGTATCGTCATGCTAGGCAGTGTTGAATCAAATCACACAGAAAGTGTACCAACCTACTAAAGAGTAGAGTTATACCCAATAGCACCATGTAACCCTGAAATTATAACCCCTGGCGCCCACTTAATTTTGATAAATGATATGCTGTGGCGTATTTTGAATTTGAATATTTGTAAATTGGAGCAGTGATTTGCTTTTCAAACTACTCAACGTCCAACTATTGACTCGTTAGTGCAAACCTTGTTTTGTATATTTCGGTTTGAACATCCACACTGTGTCCTGGCAGTCACAAAAATGTTCAACCTAAATTTCACTTTATTAAACTGTATTGTATTAATGATTTTCAATGTATGTCGCTGTTTACTGTATAAATTGCTATCAGTCTAATTTTCAACAAACTATTATAATATTTGTTTTTTCTGCTGTTGTTTTCTTTACTACATAATAACTTAGGTCATGTTTGCTAAAATTTCAATGTTCAGAAGATCTCGAAGATGTATTTGAAGATTGTCATTATAAATTAATTGGAGGTCAGACTATTAAAGCTATAATTGGTGTTCAATCAACTCTTCATTATGAATCCTCTGGCGCTGATGATACACAAGATATTCATGGGGTCGAACTTGTTAGAGTACTATCAAACATTGACGATGATAAAATTCGTAAACAATTTCCTGAAAATGCTATAGTTGATTATTATTCAATACCTAATAATGATTCAGTCACTAGGTGAGTGTATAAACAACTTTGATTTTATTATTATGAAAAGATTGATTCTTATCATTATCAAACTAGACTTTTTCAAGAAATGTACGTGTTGAAGATTTTTTTCATCACAAACCATCGTTAGTTGGATAATCACTGGAAAGCAATAAATCACCATTTCATATTGTATTACGAACTTACGGTTTCACATGTTTTTATCACTTAGAAAGATAATTTGACTACGTGTAAATGTCTAATCATTAACACAATAATTGACAATAATCAGTCTTATTGTTTCTTCTAGTTTTTTAAATTATTATTATTGTTATTTTAGAAATGTGTTTATTCGTTTCGTAAAACAAGGATTCAATTGGCCACTTATTATGATGTTAAAAAACAATGTATTTAGTGGATTTCCTTTTGAATGTCGACCATGGAGTGAGTGACAATATGTTATAAGATATTCTGTAGTTGGTTATATATGTTGTTTTATTTAATATTTCCTTCTTCCAAAAGTGAGAATTCATAGATAAAAACTCACTATTGTTTCTTAGCTTTCTAAAGTTTGAAGCTGATTTTTTTAAGGCTGTTGAATTGGGTGCTCAAACATCTTCCTTTGGAGTAATCCGTGTAACTTGAGATGTAATGGACGTAGTTCTGTTTTGATGATCAAAGGCTATATATTACTATCTAAAGTCCTCAATTTTTATGCTTATATTGATAATTGCCAGGACCTATTTAATGCGCAGATGTTTTTAACCATGAGTAAATATAAACTGGGATTCAGGTAATAGGCTGAAAAAAATTAAAGTATGGACACTACGACAGGGTAAAACTCAAAAATAACCAATTGACAGAGCAAGTTGTCAACCATATGTTGAGAAATTCGTATACCTAACTTCTAAATGAAGTTTATGCTGAATTCGTTCAGTAAAATAATGAAAACTTCACGTCTCAGAGAACAAAATCTCAGCAAAACAAATTGAGACATCCTCCTCATAAAATGCAAGGTATAACAGCCTTTTTGTAATTTGGATTTGAGGAGAAATGAAGTTCTAAACTTTGGAGAAGTCATAAACTGGCAATCCGAGCGTTTTGATTTTTTTCCGATTTAAATACCAAGGCATTCTTGCAAGTGAATAGTTGTGATTTATTTATGTTCAACAACTATTTGTGATCATTTTATCATAAACGTGTTTTTTGTAACAAGTAACTTTGTGAACCAGTTAAAATGATCGCTGTTCATATGGACTAGAAATGGTGACATCGAAATCTAATCCTCTTTGTCCAGTAATGAATTAGTTGTTGAAGCACTCGATCTTTTTAAACTACTGGATTATAGATTTGATGTCAATCTTTACTTCTTTAGTTCGTCCAGTCGATTGATGAGGCGATGATTCTTCATAAACTAAGGTGATTGGAACATATGTTGCATATGTCCGACCACTGCCTACCTCAAAGGGCGATGTTTTCTAGTATAGGGAAGGTTGTAAGAAAGCTGTGAGGGCGGCCAAACCCAAACATGGAATCAGTTCATGAAGTCGCTAACAATTGGACTTGGCTATGTTAATAGGTGTAGACTATTGATTTTTTGGGGTCCGCGTGGTTATCGTAACCAATGGTTTGGAAGTATGGATAACATGGTTCAAAATCGTATACAATGGCACAGATGGATCCGTTCTCCGAATTTTGAGATCCTAAATTTCTCATAACTCTATATTTTCTTTTCAAATATCATCTTCGATGCCTAATTTCTTTATTAGCACTGATATTGTTACCACCTCTAATATTCTGACATTCGGCCTGACAATTCAATTTTTTGTGGTAATGAAGTATGGCAACTTCAACTGATGCACATACGTACCAGGTCATACGTTATGACTGACTTGTAGAGCTTTGATCACACCAACTCGGAGTTAAGGATTTAATCATGTTTCGTTGAAGATTAACTGATCAGTTTCGCCAGTGATTTCTGTTATTTAGCTATCTGTAAACCACAAATATTTGTTCAAAATCACTTCAGCGTTATATATTAATGATATTAAAGTGGCAAGAATTAATCCCATTTCGATCGATCTGACAGGTTCACTCAGTGATTCTAATAACTTAAGTATTGATCTTTGCTCCAAAACAGTGTAATAAAACTTGAAATATGTTAATCACATCTCTAATGTGAGATATTATTTCAAAAATAATAGCGTGGATCAATATTTGGTTTGAGTTTGTCAACCATTACACTTCAGATATTCACTTAGCCCAGTTAAATTAGTATTTTTAAGATCTCGATATTTGTCTTCAAGTTTTGATAACTTACCTAGCTCACCTCTCTGACTTAGGGTCCTTTTGAAGTGTAAGTAAAGTTCGAAATAAACAGTTCGTTCTCCTTTCTAGTCTTTAAACATAATCACTGAACTTAAGGAATTTCATTCAATGTATCATACAAATTAAACAGCCACTAAGTGAGGTTACGATGACGTACACGTTTTCATTACTTATCTTAGGTGTACAGACATTTTATTATTTTTTACTGTTAACGCCGATCTTGTTGTCTGGATTTCTCAACTATTTTACGGAGGTAGTAATAGGTTATGCTTTGTGTAAATGAATATTTTAGCCGTTTTTTTCCTGAAAATGATTGGTTGTCTATTTATATTGTCATTGATGAATATAAGTACGTACGTGACGATTTAGAATCCTATTTTGCGACAGTATATAAAAAAGTGAACCCCGTCGACTGTCGGACTTCGTAGGTATTGATGATACCTACAAGTCTCACAGAAGACATTAGCTTCCCTAATGAAGGTGATCCCAGTAGCGTCCGGAGAAAATTCGAAACTGGTGGAAAATTTTTCTGTTTTGACAAGAGTATCAGTAGGGTGTTCCATCGTAGTGTTTATTCAAACAAACATTGATACTGTAGGGAGCAGTTTCCTACAGGTTTAATTCTGAGCTATTCTCTAGACCGTCGAATACAGAGTCTTGGTTTGGCCAAAGTCAGAACAAGCAAGCTATTTGGCTACATAAACTTTATCTGTTTCTAAAACATAAATTAACATCGTAAGTGTACAAACAAACTGTACGGTTTATTAATACAGGGAAAAAACAGACAACTAACATACCGAACAGTAGCCAGAGAATATGAAAAATGAGTCAACAAGCAAATATTGCTTTACAATGAACATCAAACTGTAATTGGTTAATAAAGAGATACAGTAGTACAAAGTCAAATGGAGTTAATGTGGTGGTGGGCATTTCCCTTTATTATTGGTGAGTTCGTCTATCGATCACATTTTACACTCCCCCCAAACGCGCATCACGTCCATTGTCCAGGGTCGTCGTCGCCGTCAGATAACCGGCTTCTAGCAGGCATAGGCTTCGCACATCTCTGACGATTTCTTCCTTTGAAGTTCTCAACTTTGCTGTGCGGACTCGTCCGTCCGGGCCATAGCTTACTTGCTCGACAATAGCCTTAGGCCATAGACCTCTATTCATTTCGACGTTACTAACAAGGACTAAGTCACCTGGTTGTAAGTTCCTGTGTATGTCCAACCATCTGTCTCTTGTTTGGAGAGTCGGTAAATATTCTTTTATCCATCTATTCCAGAATGCGGTGGTTAATTTTTGAGCTTCTTTCCATCTTTTGTTATATAATAACGTCTTATCCACCGAAGCATCATCGAATGATAATTTTTTATGAATCAACAACAACTTGTTCGGAGTAAGAGCTTCTAGGGTACCAGGGTCATCTGTCATTTTAACCAGAGGTCTGTCATTCAGTACCCGTTCCGCCTCAGTTAAGAAGGTTTGCAGAGTTTCATCGGTCAACACATTCTGGAATAAAAGCACTCGTAAGATTCTTCTAATTGATCTTATGATGCGTTCCCACACACCACCTCGATGACTTGCCCTAGGTGGATTAAAACGCCACTCACATTCTCGTTCTTTAAGGTGGTTTTCTATTTTATTAGTATTCCAGGAACGTATAATCTGTCTCAAACTAGCATCTGCACCTCGGAAGTTTGTGCCGTTATCACTAAAAATACGCTTTGGGGATCCTCTTCTGGCAATAAGTCTTGATAATGCACATAGAAATGAATCCGTATCTAAAGAGTGGGCCATTTCGATGTGAACAGCTTTGATAGATAAGCAGGTGAATAAACAGCCATAACGTTTCTCGACAACTCTACCTCGTTTTGCATAGAACGGTCCGAAGTAATCCACACCTACTTGACTAAAGGGTGGCGAATGAGACTCGACTCGGTATTCCGGCAAGGGTGCCATTATTTGGGATCATGGCATAGAGTAAAGTTCTCTATATAAGTAGCATCGTTTTAGAACCTTCCGAACAGTAGAATATCCTCTAACAATCCAATACTCTTCACGAATACTACTCAGAGTTTGAGTAACTCCGACGTGTGCGTTAATCGATTGATGATGCATTATAATCATATCTGTAACAAAGTGATTATTAGGGATAATAATCGGATATTTAGTTTCAAAGGGTAAACATGCTAACTTCAAACGTCCTCCCACGCGGATTGTGCCTTCTAACATAAAAAGGTTGAGGTTTCTTATAGAACTTTAACGGATTAAATTTTTTCTCCTGACCATCTCGTTCATTGTTTCCTGACTCTCTTGTTGTCTCGAAGCGTTATCTCCGAGCATTAACGGTGAACTACTTAGGATTCTTTTCTCATCCGGGAACGCGATACTTTGGACTAGTATAATTATGTCACTCTTCGAATTTTCGATATCTTCAGCACCTAAGGTTAGATGACTTTCACTCCTCTTGCTTAACATATTATTGACAAACCGTCTGCAGTATGAAAATACCCTTAGAAGCCTAGACCACGACTTACACGTACGAAATCGATCTAGAAACTCATCATTGCATCTCGGAGTTTCGAAATCTGTCAGTACATGGGCTACAGTGTTCTCAACCTTTTCTAGGCTAGGCCATTTACCTTCTTCCTCCCACAAGAATCCTGGCCCTTGTAACCACTCCCTTAACTTAGCCTTATCATTTAGTGATAATCCACGTGACGCGTGACCCGCAGAATCCAGTTTGCTTTTCACATATCTCCACTGGTTCGGCGTAGACAACTCCTGTATAGTTCCTAACCTGTTACTCACAAACCTTTTAGTCGTATTTTTTATACAGTGAAGCACAACTGTCGAATCGGTCCAATAAATGATTGACGAAATGGGGATACTGAACTGTTTACTTACGTGCCTTCCAATCTTAGCACACAGAACGCAGGCCGTTAATTCCATTCTGGGTATGGTAACAAGTTTTAGAGGAGCAACCCTAGACTTAGCTAGCAGGAATGAACAATGGATCTGACCAGAAACACCTGCATAACGAATATACGCAACAACACCATACGCAAGCTCGGAGGCGTCGGCAAAACAATGAATTTGCGCTGATGATGGTTCAA